GCCATACAACCGATTGGTGGCTATAGAGTATATGTAAAACAGCCGTTAACGGCTGTAAAAACAAGCGGGTCTTTCCTGCCCGTGCGCGCGGAGATGCGAGTCAGCCGTCCGCCCGTAGAAAAAAAACGGACGGATGGCTGACGGCAACTGGGTGAAAAGGGGGAAACGTACCCTGTTGATAAGAGACTTTTACGTTGATACGGTTATTTTTTTCTTGTAACATTTTCAGTTCATTTTTATTTTTTTATTTTCTTTTTATTTATCATCATATTTTTTTATTTTCTATACTCTATTATATATAGAACTGGGATATAAGATGTTGCTGTGCATGGTCAACACAATTTTTCCCTTGCGCTAGTTTCTTAATGTGTGCCCATAGAGACTGCTCAATCTTAGAGGTCACCATTAAAGCTTAATGGCAGGCAGATAGAAGAAACTCCAATTGAAGAAACTCCAGTTGTTCTTGCATTAATGCATTTGATGTTGAGGACCTGGTTGTTCTATTTAGCAGGGGTGTGTGAATTACACCATTCCACTATCCACTGTCTAACTGGCCAAGACAGTATGTATATCACATTACCTACATATCAAAATCTCCACTCCTCCAAAAATGATACTCTCTGTTGTTGGTGCAATTGGATAGTGTTCAGTCACCTGATGCTCTTTTCTGCTATTTAAAGCTTTGCTATGAAGAGCTCTCTCATCTTTGTAAGAATAGAGTTAATATGTTCCCTTTGTATTACTGGAGCCTTTGTTTTATATCCACTCCTATCTGTGGGCAATCCCTCCAGTTTTCTCCCATAGCACAGAAACAAACTGGTAGCGTAAATGACTTGAAACCAGTTAGCTGTATAGACTGTATGACCCTGGTAGGAATATTATATTGTAGGCTTCCTGAGGGACAGGGACTAAAGTGACCAGCCTATGTGCTTTGAAGAGTTCTACATAAATGAATAAAATAACTTGTGACCAACCAAGCTTGCTCCCTATATTCCTTTGGAGAATCCTCTAGAAGTTTTATTGTACAACATGTTTTTCCAGCATCTGCAAATTTGACTTTTAAACCTAAACACCAGACAGATATGTAAAAACACTATTTAATATAGTTATGTGTTAATTTAATGCATGTTGATAAAGAATCAGAATTAGTACCTAAATCCATCTCTATATTGGCCTCCTGGAGAGGGAAGGCCAGCACTTTTCACAGTGCTGCCAAACATGTTGAACATGATAACTGGACAAGAAAGTAGAGTGATGACCTCATCAGACTGCTGCTTCTCTTTTATTGTCCAATCACTGGACTGGGGCAAACTGGCTACAAGCAATCCTAGAGAGGGAAGGCCAGCACTTTTCACAGTGCTGTCAATCAACATTTTGAACATGACAACAGGACAAGAAAGCAAAGTAATGACCTAATCTGACTGCTGCTTCCCTTTTACTGTCCAATCACTGGACTGGGGCAAATTGGCTACAAGCAATATTGCTTAAAGGAGAACTATGAGGTGAGTGCTTTTCACTCACCTCATAGTTCTAGCCGACCTGTGACAATGAGACTGTCACAGGTCGGCTGAGTAGATCGGGAGGTGAGCGAACACATACCGGCGTTCGCCCACTTCTCTATCCTGTCACGGCAGTGAGCCGTGACAGGGGAGGGACTGGATTCCCCCCTCCCCGCTCCGATCCTCCAGTGCTGACTGGCGGAACGGACGGGGGAGGGGGCGGGTACAGCTGGCTCTGCCTCTAGATAGGCGGAGCCAGCTGTCACTCACGCAGCTGGGCGGATCCAGACATAATTGTCGGGATCCGCTTCAGCTGCGGGGTCTCAGTATACCGTGAGTTGTAGCTCGCTGTATACTGAGCCTAAGGTGACGGGAGGACGCTAGTTTGTGTCCTCCTGTTACCCTAAGGAGAACTATGAGGAAAAGCCCTAACCCCATAGTTCTCCTTTAAGTTTTTTAGCTGTTTGCCTGGAGTTCAGCTTTAAAATAAAATGGCAACAACCCTGCAAAAGAGAAACAAGCAAAAACTGGACTTTTATTATACCAAATATGAAGTTATCAGGTCGGAAAAGATGTCCAAAGGCTCCAGAACGGACGCTGTCCATTGTCCCGGGTTCCAAGTCTACTAGGATGGCTCGCGGTACATACTTGTGTGCTAAAAATACAAAGAGATATGTTGTGAGAAAAACAAAAGAGCATCTAAGCTGAATCTCTATTGTCAGCCTCGGATCTCAGTCTTCAATACAAAAAGGTGACATGTGCCAGTACGTATTCCTGTCTTTCAAGTCAGGGAGAAACTAATTGGTTACTCTGAACAGCCCAGACAATTCTTTAGACACTCTCATACAGTATATACAGTGGCAGAACTACCGCCGGAGTAGCCGGTGGGGTCCGGTCCTGGGCACCCCCACAGCCTCAGTGGGGTCCGGTCCTGCAATATGGGGCAGTGGACGGTCCCGGTGTTCGAACACCGGGGCCCCGCACTCCGACGGGCTTCTCAGTGAGGGGGCGGGTCCTGTGACTCACCTCCCCTCCCGGCCGCGTCCATAGTAACAGGCGGCGGGAGGGAAGGTGAGTCACAGGAGGCGTGTGTGTTTTCTCAAACTAAGCAACACTTTAGAATTTCTACAGTTCAAGCCCCAATAAAGGGGACCCTTACCACTCACAAAACGCATTGGCTACAAATAAACTTGATGACATTAGCTACACCAATCTTTCCCAACCTTTTTTGCCCCAGAGGAACCCTTGAACCCTGAAATTATTTTCAGTTCCTGGGAGACCCCTGGTAAAGCCAATTAATTAAGGGTCAGTGGGAAAAATGCTTCTACATTGTTGGCCATTGGGAAGATTACCATCCTTACAGTGGTGGTCAGAATGACTGTCGGTGTGTGTGCAAATGTAACCAATGGAACCACTAGAGGGAACATGTGCTCTATATTCATTACACATAGCGGACTTACAGGAGGCCTCATTGTAATATACACTAATTCTCTCCAGTTGAAGGTCAGAGTCCCCGACGTAGTTTCCAGTGGGGTCAATTCCATGTTCATCGCTGATCACTTCCCAAAACTGAGGAAAGAAACAGAAAGAGTTAAAAGGTTAGCTTGGGCGGGAATTAAAAACAAGAAGAACCTGATGTTCCACAATGTTCAGAATGTACAGAAAGAGTTTAATATATTCTGAATTTCTCCACAAACCATGTGTACAATACAAAGACAGAGAACACATCTGTAGTGTAGCCCATCACACAGCTCACATTGGTTGGGACACGGCCATTTGGTGTATGATGACCCCCATTAGAGGGCAGCACATACAGATCCCATTTAACTTCCATCAAGTCATACAGACCTGAAATAAGAGTATAACCCAGTTTTACTATCTTCCACCAGACTGAGCTATGACCTCATTATGTTTATGCAGCACAGGTGAGTATCAGTGGGTGGGGTGTGCGTAGTCAAGGGAACCTGTCATTTTGCCCTGAACGGGCAAAGCAAAGGATCCTCTTCAGGTTTAAATTGAAGATTCTTGTGATGATTACATAGTCTATTTTCACAGTAAAAGGTGATATTTTGTTACTTAGTAACTAAAATAACAGAAGAAGCATCTCTGTGCAATTATATTTTTACCCCATGGTCAGAAAGCTTGTATAACTCTCATTGCAAGGCCAATAAATCTTCAAATCAGGTTTTTAAAAAGGAAAATTCTACTTTTTTCTATAAATAATTAGCACTTAACCCTTGCAGTGTGGGGGTAGCCCCACTGGAAGGATTAATAAAAGTTTTGCCTACATTAAATCTGATATTAACAACATTATTAATTGAAGCTTTGCAAGGATCCAAGTGCTATGTACAGTATATAAATCAGGGGTGCCCATAAGGTAGATCGCGATCCACCAGTTGATCACGATCTACCAGTGATCGCATAGCGATCTAACACTGGTAGATCGCTAGGTCCTCTCCTCCCACCGTGGGGCTTCTCTGGATCCCCGCTGCTCTCCCCATCTGTATGCAGCAGGGATCCGAGAAGTGAAGGAATCACTGCAGCCGGCGGCAGGGGAGGGCGGAGCCGCTGTCACAGAACTAATGCCGAGCAGTGAGGAGAGAGAGACGCTCGGCCAGGATCTGACAGCCCACGCCTCCAGGGTTGCCACCTTTTCTTCAAACGAAACCCGAACACTCTAGAGACGCATAGGCATTTTTTTGGGAGAATGAGTCACGGCTTATTCATATGTAAAAAGTGCCGCCCATTCATATGTATATATCACAGTCGAGACTATTTTCAGTGGGAGGCCAGTAGCCCCTATCTTAATTTTGGTTGCACCCTGTCTTCCTCACATCTTGTGTCCAGGTTTCTGCTGCCCTGAAACCTGAACACAGCATTCAAAACCCGAACAGTCCAGGTGAATCCTGGACAGGTGGCAACCCTACGCGCCTCTCTCTCCTCACCTCTCGGGCCTTAGTTCTGTGACAGCAGCTCCGTCCTCCGCCCCCCTACCCACGGCTGAAGTGCTTCTTTCACTTCTCGTCGGATCCCCCGCTGTCTCTGCCCGGGAGAGCAGGGGGGATCCAGAGGAGAAGCTGAGCCCCGGAGTGCATGGTCAAGCGGCAGAGGATCGGTACATATCAGTGATGTGTACCAATCCTCTGTGCAGGACAAACACTGGAGCGATCAGCTGATCACTCCAAGTGTTTGTAAATAACATCACTTCCTGGTAATTCATCAGTTTCTCAATGGGGGAGAAGCATTCTGTACAGAGGCTCCTCCCCCATTCAGGGGTGATTGTAAAATATTTTCTGAATGAATGGGAAGCCTCTGTGCTTTCCATTCATTTAGAATAGAGGCTGCAGAAAAAAAGATTGAGGACTTTGTGTGCTCAATTTCTTATCCATTGAGCATTGCAGCAGTGCAGAATGGCATCAGCTATAGAGGACTACAACTCCCAGCAATACTTTATACAGAGGGGGGCCCGAAAAAAAATCTTGCACCAGGGACCTTTGATCCTTAGGTCCGCCACTGCTCTAGGACGCACTGTAATGTAAGCCGGCCGACTCCCTGCATTCAGGGGCGGGAGGGGGCGTGGGGTTGTATTGAAGTCAATGGCACCGCAGCCATTACCCCCACCCCGCACATTAGTGCCTGCATTCCGGTCCAGTGCGATTTGCAAAAATAGTGCTCGCAGCATTTTTGCGGATCGCACTGTGGGCAAGGGGCCTGCCCGAGGTGCCATTGACTTCAATGCACCGCCACGCCCCCTCCCGCCCCTGAATGCAGGTGTTTTTTTGTTGGTAGAGATCATTGAGCTTGTCATTTTAAAAGTAGATTCCCAGACGAAAAATATTGGGCGCCCCTGACATATATGATGTAGCCTGTCAGTGGCATTACCACAGCAGTTTTTGTTTTTCTGAGACCCCGTAGTTTTATTATCTGTTGATCCGGCCAGTAGATCTCTTATTAATCCACTTTCTGTAACGCTCCCCAGCTGTTCTTTCCTAAATCACAGCTGCTGCTGCAAAAAAGGTGTCAACAGGAAGCAATGGTGTCACCCTCTCTGTCAAGTGGCAGTGTTCAGGGCCTAGCCATTGGCTGCCCAGCCCGAGTATTGCATCATGGCAGAAGGTCATTTGCACCCCCCATAACCCCCATTTGCATTGGTTTTGACAGAGGAAGAAGCAGAGAACGAGCGCAGTAAAGGTGAGTCATGGGTAGGAGATGCCCTGAATGCAAAGGTGACAGGGTCTCTTTAACTCTCCAGCATCTACCAAAATGAATATGTATACACTGAGTGGCCAGATTATTATGACCATCCCATCAGTACTTCGTTGGGCCACCTTTTGCCTTCAATATTGTGGCGATTCTTCTTGGCATTGACTCCACGAGATGTTGAAAGGTGATGCGAGGAATCTGACACCACTAATTTGATGCACGGTTGCCCTTCTGTTGTCTTGTACCAGTCTTGCCACTCTCCGTTCTGCCCTAACATTGACTAGTCGCTGACGGCCACAATTCGCACGTTCAGACCCAGATTTTCGGCTGACAGTCCGGTCTTTAAACACTTTAACAACAGCCGCTCTTGAACATTTAATGAATTCTGCTGTTTTGCTGATACTCGCTCCATGGCTCCGAGCGCCAAGTCATCCCACGTTCAAAGGCTGTTAAATCGCGTTGTTTCCCTGTATCTTCAGAAAAATAATAATGGTCTGGCCCTCTAGCAACTTCAGTGCAAAATTATAGCTAATTTGCCTACAAACGTCAGGTGGTCATAATAATCTGGCCACTCAGTGTATGAGTGCCTCTATTGTCAGCTAAAAATGAATGAGCCACATACTGATTTCTTTTATTTGCTTTCTCTTTACATTTATGGTATGCTACATAAAGTTCAATAAAATGAACCATGCCTGATCTTGCTTTATTAAACGTGGTACTCCAGTTAGCAAACTGAAATTATTTTTAATGACAAGGGGGCTTAGTTTATTGTATCGTACTGCAAGATTTGTAATTGCGGTCCATTTATTTCATGCACTGTATAAACCAGACAGGCCCTGGTATCTTATTCGGCAGAGAAAGCCGGGTTATAACAAAAGAAAAAACCACAAAGGCTACGCCAAGCTCCCGGGCTGGCAACACCCAGCAAGCACATTCCAGCAGCTGGGATGAGGAGGCAAGGGTGGGGCACAGAGGCAGGGAAGGAGGAATTATTCTCATGGCAAGGAAGGAAGATGAAAGAGAATGAAATTACACTAAGGAGAGATAATTCAGAGATCAGAGGAGCAGTGTAAGCATGGCTTATGTGAAGTGAGGAGGCCACCATGGAATCTAGAAAAGATACACCAAGCTTATTCAACACAAGAAGGTAGTATTAAAGTATAACAGTGGCGTGTAAAGTGATGTTACCCCCAGGAACCCATTACCTTACTGTATTTGGCTTAGCCAATGGGTTGCTTTAAGGTTAATGAACACTGCATGCTACCATTGTCTATACATTACTCCGCCTGGCAGGTCCTCATTTGGCATAGTGTTTGCTAGAATTGTGTTGGTCACATCAACCAGTCATAATCTCCCTTTCCACCTTGGAGCAAAGACTGAGAAATAAACATCAAATCTGATTGGTGGTCCCCCCAATCAATGTGGCACCCTGCGTCCCAGCTTGGCCTCCGATGCCTTTCCTTCCCATCCACCGGAAGACGCTTCCCTTGGCCCACTCAGGCAGCAGGCCTATTTTTGGGACATGTGAACCCATAGGCAAACCCTGTCGGGACCATAATGAACCTAAAATCTGATTGGTGGCTATTGACAATACAGACTTAATTTTTTACTTCTATACAATTTGATTGAGGTCAAGAGTCCTTCATTCCATGCAAGGTTGAGGAGAAGACAGGCGCTATCCACAGCAAACAATTTCAGATGTCTTATGTAGTGCAAGCTGGGAGTAAATGCAAATATTCAACTTGTTGCCATGGAAAAAAGGCCCCTTGCCATGGAACTCTTAGAATAAACATCGCCCATTATCTTTTTGACTCTACCTACATTTTAAAAACTTGGCCAAAATATTTCCTAACCAACCAACCGTGTTCCCACCATCACACAGTGACCTAAGGGCAATGGCCATGGAACTCATTTAAAAAGCCATGGAAGTCATAATAAAGAGGAACAAGAATGTTTTTTCTTAAAAACCCTGAAGGAGTTAATTTAATGTCCATTGTAAAATATATATTTAATTGACTACATATCAAGTTATGTAACTTTAAAGTCATCACAAGGTCCCTGGGTAAATGATACTGCAAAGCCTTTCCTCATTCCTCCATACTGCACTGCCTCTACAGTTCACTGTTGTGCCATATAATAAATCTAATAACGGTACTGTCCCAGCACAGCTGTTCCATTTCCCTACCCCCAACCGCTTTTCTCCCCTGTGACAGCCCAGAGACCTGCTGCACTTATTGATTCGCCATTCTTCAGGCTCAGGGGACCAGCTGATGACTAAAAGATGTCTGCAGGGTGATCAAAGCATCTGTCTGTCTCACAGCAAGTGCTGTCTGGCACCATAGATGTGATACTCCTCGCTGTGATGTCACACCATAGGAAAAAGAAAATGCCAGTCAACTGCTCCTCCTTCAGGGGCCACCACCGCTAACACATTATGGAATCCTACACTGCATGGTGGCAAATGATCAAAAAATTATTATTCTTGCCATTGTGGATGAAGTATTGAATAGACCATTGCGTGTTTTCTTGGTTCACATGTGTCGCACATATGCTGCATAATTCCTCACTATGTTCATCCTGTGTTATTATTATTATTATTCAGGATTTATATAGCGCCAACAATTTGCGCAACGCTTTACAATATAAGGAAGACATTACAATCACAATACAATTCAAGACAAGATGGTAAGGAGGGCCCAGCCCGTGAGGGCTTACAATCTAAAAGGGAGGGGCAAGTGATACATGAGGAGGTAGCTGTGTGGGGATGATTTCTTTGTACCTGTTTATTTGTTATCCTATAAATTATAAAAATTGATTCTTAAAAAAAATTAAATAAATGAAAAATCAAAAAAGATGACAAAAAGCTTAAATGTAAGATGACTGCTAAAATAGCGATCAGCTAAAACGTTCAATCCCTGCACAATGGTGAGGAAGCAGATACGATCTGGAATTCATTTATACAAAAATGTAATAAAATCTGAAATCATTTATTGCATCGACAGGTGTCGCAATATTTTATGGAGGTCTCGCAACATCAGATCTTTTGTTGGATTGAGCAGATATACAAACCCCTATAATAACAATATTATCCTTGCCCAATTATGTCATTTTAAATGCTCTTTTGTTAAATAAAAAATGTCATTGCTTGTGGCATTGAGCACCCTGAAACGTAAAGATATTAATATCTTTTTTAAATATCGACGTAGCCTGAAAAAGTCCTTGCATCCCGATGTGTTCCCAACTCCCAGTTCTTTGTCTGCGATTGTACAAATAGAATTAAAGCCAGGATGACATCACCTTTCCACATTGCCTTACTCTAAGCTTTGAGCTTGCTGCTGCAGGATGGGAGTGGCACTGTGCAGCTAAACAATACATTACTGGCTGCATCCGGCGTGGCAGAGGTTAAATCATGGATGAGCTCAGCGACAGCGCTGTCTGAAGGCATGGAGATGATAGCTTGGCTTTCTCTCCCCAAATGAATTAGGCAGCGTTGGGAGAGAGCAGCAAGCAGCTGGCTCCCTGCAGGATGGCTGGTGTCATTAGGCTCAAGCTAATCTCGGAAACGGGTACAGCCTAATCACATCCCCCTCACTCCCATCCAGAGTGACAATCGACCGACACCTCCCTTCGCTGGCTCCAAGCAGATCCCTTTAATTAAACAGGATTTACTCACTCAGCCGTCCCTTCCCATCAAAAGCAATGAAGTCACTGCTTACTGTCAAGTTAACCCCTTATATGCTAACAAGGTACAGGCAGCCAGCCATAAGCCTAGAGTGGTGGCACTTGTAGCCCAGCTCCATCACTGCCTGGATTGACAGCAAGGCCTTTCCATCGGGGTTGTGGTGGTGGGGGGGTCAGAAGGATGCTACCTCCCTCTTTGATGGGACAATGGGGCTTTGTCCTGTTCGGCCTCAAAGGAGTTAACTCGCAGCTCCTGCGCCCACATAAAGGAATAGCCAAGTCAGTCCAGGCTGAAAGCAAAGCATTATATGAAGAATACAGCAATGAAACAACCTCAAGCCTTCAGCCAAAAACAAAAGAAAAAAAATCTGCGCTTAGGTGGGTGGAAGCAAAGTTCTCAGTGTGACTGCCTTCACAAGAAGTAGAATTTGCCCGATGGGTGAGCATGGGCAGGGATCCTACCTTGGCCCCGATCTGGTTGCCGCACTGGCCGGCCTGGATGTGCACAATCTCCCTCATGCTGGCTCTGGTCTGGCTCGGGATGCGGACACTGGAGGTGGTGGTTCGTCGGCGAGCACCTTATAAACCCGGAGCGATGACGTCACGACAGCTAGGAGCCAATCGCAGATCGCCTGCGTCTGCAGCGCCCTCAGGCGGTCGCCTGACTTGCCTTGCGGTAGCGCCGGGCCTGCATGTGATTCCTACTCTTTCATTTGATCATGGGGTAAAGGATTCACTTAGAAATTGTTACATTGTCGCCCTGATGAAGGGATCCTGTGCGGTCCCGAAACGTCGCTATTTTGTATATGAAATTGACGATTGGTCTGATTAAAGCAATCGTCAATTGTCATGTACAAAATAGCAACGTTTTGGGTCCGCACGGATCCCTTCATTCAGGGCAACAATGTAACATTGTTACATTGTCGCCCCGATGAAGGGATCCTGTGCGGCCCCGAAACGTTGCTATTTTGTATATGACAATTGACGATTGGTCCGATTAAATGGACATCAAAGATATTTACTGAGTGCTGGTGATTTCTCCTTTCCACTGTTTGTTGCACGGTGAAATCTGTGATTGTCACTGCGAGCACCACTACCAGTACTTGGGTCGGGGGCGCTGTGAGGAGTGCAGAGGGACTTACTACTTTCTATCCTATTATATTGTGACATCTGTGTAAAAGAGAGATTTCCTTTACAGAGATTTCCTTTGACTTCCTGTGTAGGATAATCTCCATGAGCGAACACAGAAGGTAAAAGAAAGTAAAAATGCTTAAAAGATATTTTAACTTTTCCCCATTCTATCCATAACTAAAAAAAGGCCTTAGGCTTAGACGTTTGATGCAGTTTAATTGCTGCCCTCCCCTGCTGCATATACTCATCTTCTTTTTGCTCCCCTGGTGCTCTGTCTGACTGCTTTGAGCAAAGAGAAACACTTAGTGGTGCATTAGGGGTTCATGAATACCTGCCATTTTCCATATTTTTTTTTGTTTTTGCATTTTGGCACTTTCAGTCTCCTGCAGCTTCTTTCAGCCACTTCCTGTCTACATGCATTCACTCCAACATCATCTGCACGTCATTGCGGTGGATTGGCCTCCTGATAGTTATAACGGTGGACCATGCCGGGTGTGCCAGAACAGCTGCTTGTAATGTCAACCAAAGGCATGTGTCACAGGGTAGCAATGCAGGAGCACAATTCTTAGTTGTCACAAGACCAACTAGGCTAAATGTCCCCAATAGGACAGCAAAGGAAACCCAACAGGAACTATAAATAAATAGAGAGAGAGAGAGAGATGGAGAGAGAGATATGGAGAGAGAGATATGGAGAGAGAGAGATGCAGAGAGATATGGAGAGAGAGAGATGCAGAGAGATATGGAGAGAGAGAGATGCAGAGAGAGATATGGAGAGAGAGAGAAAGAAAATAAATTAACATTAGATATATAATAAAGCGAATCTGCTGCATAGACAAAGCACAGGCTCACTTTAAGATACTACATGTTGGTTCACTAGGCAGCACACAGACCACACAGTGGCATCACAAGGGGGGTGTGGGGGGTTTGGCCCGCACCAGGTGAGACCATCAGAGGAGATGACACCAAAATGACTGGCAGTCATTTTGGTGTCACCCCCTCCTAAAAGGTGAGCCCGACAGTGGCATGAAAGAAAGGAGGACCCGGCGGCATACCTGATTCCGCCAAGTCAATATTCTCTCCACCCTTCACTGGAATCCATCACCGCGCATGCGCGTTGATGTCACACCACAGACATCCATTCCTAATACATGCGTGAGGGCTGCACCAGGTGACACCAACCCCAGTGCCGCTGCTGCCTCCAACTACAGGATATCATCTCGGTCAGTTTTGTGTCTGTGGCACTTTTTTTTCAGCTAACCATAAATCACATAGAAGTGAGTGGCAGTGTGACAGATGGCAGATATTACATGCCCAGAGGGTGATATAAACTGGACACTAGTGTGACACCCCCCTGGTATGACAGCCGGGAACAGACAAGTGGCCACCTGGACCCTGCTACTTGTAAATGCATAATAAAAAAGACACAGAACATTCATCTCGGTAAAGAAGATAATTGTCTTAGGGCTCGTTCACACCACACAGCATGCTTTATTGTACACAAATACATGTGCACTGGTAAACGGTTTGGGCACCCAACTCCAGTCCTCCAGCTGTGCTTTAACTAAAAATCCCAACATACCTCTGCCACGGGATTTGTAGTTCCACAACAGCTGGCGGGCTGGAGTGGTCCACCACGTTCTATGTAATTCTATGATCAGCAGCACTTTGTAATGTGTCTAATGTGCACAAATACTGCAACATGTCTACATTTTTCCCCCAGCACTCACCAACCCCATGCTTCGATGTGAGCTGGCCACATAGACAGCAGTAGTATTTGCTGTGTCCTTGCGTTGAGCCTACGTGGATCAACAAAGATCAGCGCAGCTTGATGCACTAGGTGTGAGTGAGTCCTTGAAGAAAAATTCCACCTTTTAGAAAAACATAACATGTGAAGACTTCTTCATAAAATAAAAACATGAATTTATAATTTTATTTAATAATGCTCATATTTTTAAATTTAATAATTATTATTTTTTGGGAGTCAGTAAAGCATTGAAAATGCGATCAGTGGTTTGCGGTGCAATGCTCTGGCTCCTGCAGATTCTTTCTCCCATCCATGTCTGTACCTCGCTATGGACATTCAGAAACATGGACGGGAGGGCAAATGAATGGACTACAAATGCTGCTACATTAACGTACTTGTATTCCATTGAGACAGACCCTCTCAAAGAACCTGTTCAAAAATCCCCATCAGCCTGTGGGAAGAAGAACCCCGTGATTCGGGTAGGGGGGAGAGATTGCGATCTGATCATGTTTCATGGTACACCCTGAAAAGAAGGAGGAGAGAAGTGCGTAGACATGACGGCAGTGCTGGGATCTATGAGACCTGCAGCGCTTACATTCACAGTAACCAGGAAGTACTAAGCGATAGTTTACACCACAAACAGTGCATTCTGGCCCGATTTGGCGCTGGAACGCACTGGATCGCATTCAGGCCGGATCTCTTTATTTTGGGGAGGCGGGAAGGGGTGTGGTGGTGCATTAAAGTCAATGGCACCGCAACCACACACCCCGGCCGCAGTGCGATTGCCCGCGTGGCACATCAATGCCTGCCTTCCGGTCCGGTCAGAAAAAATAGTGCATGCAGCCTTTTTTTTGACTGCATGGGACCAGAACGCAGGCATTGATGTGCCACGCATTCGGGTGCGGGAGATCGCACTGCAGGCTGGGGGATCTCTGCGCCGGGAGTGTCGGATAAACGGATGATCCGACACTCTCGGCGTAGAGATGGGGGGCCACTGGCCGCTGGGTACCGATCCGGTGCTGCGACTGTGCTGGGCCCCCCAGGCCGAGGCCCTGGTGCGCCTGCACCGGCGGTAGTTCCACCACTGTGGAGAATGCAAGAGGCCTTGCCGACACAAATTGAGGGGGATTTATCAAAACTGGAGCAGCTCCAGTGAGATCAACGACCAGGGACGGTGCAAGGATTTTTGCCAACTCAGGCGAAGGTGCATTTTGCCGCCCCCCCGGCACACGTCCCCCATGTCATTCTGTGCCCCCATGTCATCCTATGCCCCCATGTCATCCTATGCCCCCATGTCATCCTTTTATTAGTAGTACTTACTCTGTAGAGGACATCCACCAAATCATCAAGCCCTTCCGCTACACTAATTGGTACCTGACCAATGCCTTGTCAAATGCCTTGGGGGTCCTGCCAAGATTGACAACCTCTCTGGGAGTCATGTATTGGAGTAATATGAGTACTGCCTGATTGTTACTTTGAAGTGATTTAATAAAACATTTAAAAAAATTAAAAAAACGGGAGCATGAAAAATCTGGAGCAGCTGTGCAGGGCAACCAATCAGTTTATCTCTTTCATTTTCAAAACTTAACTGAACAAACTGAAGAGAGAAGCTGATTGGTTGCCATGCACATCTGCTCCAGATTCTCTCTGCTCCAGTTTTGATAAATTCCCCCCATTGTGAATGCATGGTCTACCTTTGTCAATGGATCAAAATGATTTATCATGAAGCCCCTCTGAAACAATTATATGCAGCACTGAGTTGCAACATATGAAAATATCATGGATTTTATGAAATAAAAGAAGATTTGGCAGTTGTTTATGATGTATTTTGGATTTAGTTGCACGTTAGAAAAATCCCTAGTGATGCCTGGTGATCCTGCCATTGAGGTCCTTGTCCAGGCACTTCCTGTTATAGGGTGGAACCTTCAGAATTAGTGCCAGTGATCAACCTCATTGGTTCGGCATGTATATCTCAAACATGCGAACCTCTGGCTAATGCTGAAGGTTCCAGTGTTGATTTTTATTATTCTTATTATGTTTGTGTGTTGAACCTTCTAGTCATATGTAAATAATCCACTTGCATCAATTTTTTCACACAGATTGTCGTAATTTTACACAGATTTGTTTATTAACACTTTAGTGTGTAGTTGGTTCACGTAGACCGAGCGCAACATATTTGCTTTACATTTATTCACCTATACACATTGTTCCGGCTGGTCCAATCAGGTAGTTAGGCATGCATTCCCAGCGCAGTGATTTCTGTGATATACTGTGTAGTACCTTGCATAGTAAGTAGGGATGCACTAAAATAAATTTTTTAGGCCAAAACAAAAACAAAAAAATTGTCAGGCCTAAACCAAAACGGAAAATTACCTTTTTCTGCAGCCCCTGTTATGAATAAACAGAAAGCCTCTATACTGAGTGCTCCTGTCCATTCATAAGCTGAGGAGATAGTATCAGTTACTATGTCCACAATCATGAATGAACAGGAAGTGATGTAGAGCAATTCCTGTTCATTCATAACTGGGGACACAGTAGGCATACTATGACCTCAGTTATTTACAAACACTCAGTGATCAGTTATGATCGCTGAGCGCTTGTATTCAGCTCTCCATCCTGGCTCCTCCGTCTGTCACAAGAGGCCAAGCGGGGTGGTTACAGGAGGCTCGGCCTCCTGTAAAAGCTGACAGCTCTTTTT